TGCGAGTTCATGTCAGCGAGTCCGTGGAAGCGGACTTATAGAACTGCATCGCAGTTGTCTGGCCAATTCCCCTTGTTGTTTGTTGTGGTTGTTGTAGTTGTAAATCAACGACCGCCTGGCTGGCTGTGAACACTGGGACACGTGGGGTAGCCCGGTGGGGCACGTGGGGCACGTGGGGTAGCCCGGTGGGGCACGTGGGGGAGCCCGGTGGGGCACGTGGGGCACGTGGGTAGCCCGGTGGGGCACGTGGGGTAGCCCGGTGGGGCACGTGGGGGAGCCCGGTGGGGCACGTGGGGTAGCCCGGTGGGGCACGTGGGGTAGCCCGGTGGGGCACGTGGGGGAGCCCGGTGGGGCACGTGGGGGAGCCCGCGTGTCCGTGTGTCCCACCGCCACGCGCGCCGAGGGGACAGCGGCGCTCGTGAGCCGCGCGGCACAGACGGCGCCACGAGGCCACGCGTCCGTGATCCACCAACCCCTCGCCCACACTGCGCGGGGCCACTCTCAGGCGCTGCGATAGCGATCCGCCAGCAGCAGCAGCAGCCACATCAACAATTCTCACTATTACAGGCGAGACGTATTTACTTGGAAACGCTTATTCAATTGCACCTTAATGCGACGATAATAATAACAACAATATGATAATAACGATAACATTAGTTGGGTCTTTCGGTAAAGCCACAGAATAAAATAACAAAAAACATCGACCCTGCGATCGAAACGTCGATTAAAAATTCTGTCTACGTGGCTTAGCAACCCTCCCCCCACTACCACTCCAACACCCCCCCCCCACTACCACTCCAACATCCCCCACTACCACTCCAACACCCCCCCCCCACTACCACTCCAACACCCCCCCCACTACCACTCCAACATCCCCCCCCCCACTACCACTCCAACATCCCCCCACTACCACTCCAACATCCCCCCCCCCACTACCACTCCAACATCCCCCCACTACCACTCCAACATCCCCCCACTACCACTCCAACATCCCCCCACTACCACTCCAACATCCCCCCACTACCACTCCACCATCCCCCCACTACCACTCCAACATGCCCCCACTACCACTGCAACATCCCCCCACTACCACTCCAACATCCCCCCACTACCACTCCAACATCCCCCCACTACCACTCCACCATCCCCCCACTACCACTCCAACATCCCCCCACTACCACTCCACCATCCCCCCACTACCACTCCAACATCCCCCCACTACCACTCCACCATCCCCCCACTACCACTCCACCATCCCCCCACTACCACTCCAACATGTCCCCACTACCACTCCAACATCCCCCCACTACCACTCCACCATCCCCCCACTACCACTCCAACATCCCCCCACTACCACTCCAACATCCCCCCACTACCACTCCAACATCCCCCCCCCCACTACCACTCCAACATCCCCCCACTACCACTCCCACATCTCCCCACTACCACTCCAACATCCCCCCACTACCACTCCAACATCCCCCCACGACGACTCCAACATCCCCCACTACCACTCCAACATCCCCCCACTACCACTCCAACATCCCCCCCCCCCCACTACCACTCCAACATCCCCCCACTACCACTCCACCATCCCCCCCACTACCACTCCACCATCCCCCCACTACCACTCCAACATGCCCCCACTACCACTCCAACATCCCCCCACTACCACTCCACCATCCCCCCACTACCACTCCAACATCCCCCACTACCACTCCAACATCCCCCCACTACCACTCCACCATCCCCCCACTACCACTCCACCATCCCCCCACTACCACTCCACCATCCCCCCACTACCACTCCCACATCCCCCACTACCACTCCAACATCCCCCCACTACGACTCCAACATCCCCCACTACCACTCCAACATCCCCCCACTACCACTCCAACATCCCCCCATGGGAGGCTGCGGGCTAGTGGGAGGGCGGTGAGACTGGGAATTACTGGAGGTGGTGGGGGGAGGAGGTGGTGGGGGGGGGCGGTGGTGGGGGGAGGAGGTGGTGGGGGGTGAGGTCAGCAGCAAACGCAGCCCAATTAGAGAGGAATGAGACCAGAGGGGGGCCTGAGGGGGGGTTACGAGGGGCGACCGGGGGGGGGCCTGAGGGGGGGTTACGAGGGGCGACTGGGGGGGGGGGCCTGAGGGGGGGTTACGAGGGGCGACCGGGGGGGGGGCCTGAGGGGGGGTTACGAGGGGCGACCGGGGGGGGGGCTGAGGGGGGGTTACGAGGGGCGACCGGGGGGGGGCCTGAGGGGGGGTTACGAGGGGCGACCGGGGGGGGGGCCTGAGGGGGGGGTTACGAGGGGCGACCGGGGGGGGGCTGAGGGGGGGTTACGAGGGGCGACCGGGGGGGGGGGCCTGAGGGGGGGTTACGAGGGGCGACCGGGGTGGTGGTTGTGGGGGGGAGGTAGACGCCAGGACCCATGCCGAGTTTTTAAAACGAGACACAAA